GAAAAAAAAAAAAAACGGTAACCTGGTTGCCGAGTTCACGAAGTGAATTGGCTTGTTTTACAAAGGGTGGGTAGGAGATTTAGGGGGATGAACCCTTTCGTGTGACAACGGGTTGTGGAGGTCCTACCCAGCAGCAAGAACGTGTGCCAGCGCTCATTTTAAGGTATTGAAAAAAAAAACGATGTGCTTCGTCAAACTCTATCGGCCTGGTGTTCCCCCATGAATCTCCCAACCTTCCCGCCCCCGCCCCCCCCTCAAAAACACAACGCCCTTTTGCCTTTTTGCAGGTGGTCACACACCTCAAGGACGACGAGCACATCACCGCGGCACAGATCGACCCGAACATTGTCCATCAGCCCGACATTTCGTACGACATGTTCATGAACATGGTGAAAGAGGTGAACAAGGACTATGGCGACTGCCACCAGAACATGAAGTCTGGGAGTCACGAAGAATGGTACTCCTTCTGTCGTGGTAAGGTCTGCTTCTTTTTTTGTAATGGCCCTTGTGCGATAGGTGGTACAGATAACGGCACGTGCCGGGGGGGTACTCTTAGAGAAAAGACAGTGGTTGGTCCACGTGTCGGGAACTTTAGTGTTGAAATTTAGTTGAATGATATTTCTTTAGCTTGCAACGTACTATGCTTGGGACGATGCTGGAACAATAGGCCGGATAATACAGTTAACGTCGATCAAACATTCCTCAACCACTGCAGAATTCAATCAATCACAAACAGGGGACGTGCCTTATACCAACAGGTGTTGTGTTGCAGCGATAAAAAGTTCCGGTCGTGGTCGTTCGAAACGTGGTTCGTCGAGAAATGAGTACTGTTCGGGCTCTTCGCCCTTGTTAGTTTTGGCTCATGTAATGTGCAAGTGTTCCTCTGTTGGTCGTGAACGCCCGACAAAGTACAGCCCTCCCGCCCCCACCCCCCCCGACCTACTGCTGTGGTTCCCCTCATCACGAAGGGTTTCAATAATATGCCTTTGAATAACCCAATCTTTCTGCATGTTGGCGATGCATCGATAACACAAGAACGTTCTTCCCACAAATACGTGTGCGCTCTTAATGACATCAGCGGGAAGTACGATTCCGCTTGCAAGTTCCAGCACGACGATATACTTTCGTGGTGACGTCCACTTCCGCTCAATGTCACCTTATTGCCTTCTAGCGATCGCCCCTCCCGCCCCCCGCCCCCGACTCCCCCTGGTCGACTTGAACGTCAAAATATCAAAAAACCTGGACACCTACTACGTTGGACAGGTCATGGCCGGGTACCCGCAGATCCTCGCCGTGTGTGACCGGCTCCTGCCCGAAGACGTGAAACCGGAGAGCAGCGGCGTGGGGGGGGCGGCCGCCGGCCCTATCGGGGCCAAGGGAGCCGCTGCTGACGCGAAGAGGAGAGAGGACTCCAAACGCAGAGCGAGGGAGGACAACGCCCACCTCAAGGCCAACAAAAAGGTGTCTTAAGAACGCCGTCAGCGTGCAAGAGAGGGCCACTGTTGCCATGCACTCAGTGGCGTCGGGACTTGGACTGCCCCCGGCGGATTAAACGAGCTATTTCTGCCAGCGTCCGAACCCGCCCCCGCCGCAGCATCTTCCTCGCGGGACATCGTATAGATGCAAAGACCGCAAAATTGGCGTTTTTCGACACCTTGTTCAAATCTTTCCAAGCCTCTACGAAAAATCTCAAAGAAGCCAAAGCAGAGGCGGCAGGCGACGACAGCACGGCGCTGGAAATGAACGGTTTTCTGGAAAAAAATGTAGCAAAGATTAGAATCGAGATGGCTGAATGGGATAAGAGTCCCATTTGAGGGACAGCCCGCGGTCCCTCCCCGATTCCACATGTGCTAGAGCGATCGATTGTGTTTAAGTGGCGGTTGGAGAAAGATCGTTCGTGTGTGGGCGGGGGAGGGAGACGGCAGATCGCCTTCACTTGCCGTACCGTTTGTATTTTGTCGGGTGGGTGTTTGACGAGTGCACCACGTGTAGAACGCGAATGGAGAACGCGTAGCGCACGCTTGATATTCGATGTTTTTTTTAGCCGCGTACAGCAGTACCTCTTTTTTTTTGTGTCTTTCACAAACCACTGCGTGCACTCGTAGATGACTAGGGGGAGGGGCACGCAGAGCGAACGTGGGCGCACAACCTAGGTTCGTTTTTTTGTAGTGTCAGCAGTACCACTTGTCTTCTATTTTTTGTGTTGTTTTTTTACAGATGACTAGGGGGGGGGAACACGCAGAGGACCGTGTGGCGCACGACCAAAGTTCTATTTTTCTAGACAAGTACAGCAGCACCACTTGTTCGTGTTTGGTCGGTGTGTTTATCACTTACCACCGTCTGCATTCGTAAATGCTTCGGAATCAACGTCTCCTCACGACGTGAAAGTAGTCAAATACAACGTAAAGAGCGTTTCGAATGTTATCCCGATATGGTTATCCCGGGCTGTGGGAGATGACCGTCTACGCCATGATGCTGTTCAGCCAATACTGTCTCCCAAGAGACAATATCGTGAGGTCAGAAGAAAAAAAAACATCTCTGTTACCATCTCGCATCACGCAACCATGACATGAAAAAATTCCCCGACACAGGGAGGAGGGTGCTCACCCTTACCCTACACGCCCAACGTTATAAAAAATGCGTTTGGAAACCTACGTTCTTCTTCGACATCTCTGCAACATTCGAATTTTCTCGCTCAAGAGATGCAAACGCAGGAATGACACCCGAACAAACGACGTCATGAAAAGCGACAATACTTATCGAAACAACACTAAATCTTTCTGACACCACTCAGGCATTATCCCGGTTTATGATGTTTGTAACACACAAAACACGACTTCCGCAAAATTGTCTCCACGTCCTCGTAGAGGCGCATGTGGATTTGGCGCCCGACCCTCTCCCCCCGAAAAAAAAAGCCTTCTCACCCGCCCGTGCGCCTTCCCTTCCCTTTCACCTTCCCCCCTCGCCCTACCCCACCAAAGGCGTTGTATTCCCGACCACCGTTGTCAACACCCCCCACCCCGGCCATGGCTCACGCTACTCAAAGGCCACCACCGCCGCATTTGCCTCGTCTCGTCCATCATCCACGTACTACATCCTCGGGACCCACCCTCCACCGCAGCCCGCCCGCGTTCGATCCCTTACGTGTTCCTCGCTGCGTTGCGCACCAAGTTGTGCTTTGGGCGGTACTGGCGCTTGTTGTCCAGAATCATCGTGATCCCCTTGCGCGTGGAGACTTCGCCTGACCTGGTCGGTTTCTGCGCGTCCTTGGTGGTCGTGCTGAAAGCTCCTGGCAGAGTCTTGTCGCCGAGTAGGTGGGGGCGTAGCTGGACCACCTCGGCGTCTTCTTCCGACCGGTGGATTGGTGTGACCTCGTCCCGGAGATAATTGTGGAGGCGGAAGAGCGCCGTGATGAGGTCGCAGCGCCCAGCGAACTGAACACGCAACGGCTTCCACAGGATGCCCCACTGGCCGACGAGAATGCCAAACGCTTGCTCGATCCTGACTGAGTCGGCTCAGATAGAAGTTGAACCCGTCTTTGTCCAGCGGCAGTCCCTTCCCTGGGCACGGAGTCAACAGGTGGTCGCTTAGGGGGTAAGCCGCGTCTCCGAGCATGTAGAAGCCTGGCGGCAGGTTTTTCACCGCTGTGAATAGATCCGAATGGTTCCATGCCGTCCAGTCATTGGTTGAGCCGGGTGCACTGCAAGACATGCTGCAAAACCGGTAGTTGTCATCGCACGTCGCCTGTACGTTCATCCCGTAGCCGCACTTGCTCCCAGAATAATACGAAAGAACGTTCGGAGTGTTGAGGGCAGTCGGAGCAAGAGTCTCCACGAAGAGGCAATCCCCCGCAGCTACCACACCTTGAAAGGCGTCGCCCGTGCTTTTTTCCTGAGGACAGACATGGCACTCGGGGAGGGACACAACAGAGACGCTCTTAGAGTCGAAAAAGATAGATTTTCAGGCAGAGGCGAGCCCATCGACTACCCCACAAACAACGTACGGGTGTGTGCGAGCAATTAAAGACGAACCCTCTCCTAGACATGCCAATCAATACAGTGCGACTGTTCGTGCCAATGGTCCCTGCAGACTGGAGCTCATTTCACCATGCATCAAGCCAATACGTGGACAAGATATATAGAAGAGGTTTCCCGGTGCTGTCACAAGTGCTTCCCTCTCGCTCCTTATTCGGTGCGTCCAGACAAGCAGGATATTCTGCCGAGCGGAGGATCGACACGCATGTATCCATGTAATCCGCATCATTTGTTTTGGGCCAAGACCCTGCAGCAGTGGTACCTTGCTTATGTAGCATACCATACACGTTAGGAGGCTTGTATTGTAGCCTACGAAAGAGGTGAAGTTGACTGCTCTTCCGACACCAGACCCGGTAGACATAACACAGCACAACACCTGTCTGTCCATTTTCGCCGCCTTGCCTGTTTTTGGCAATTTTCGCACGTACGTCTGTTCGCATACTGTAATCAATATTCGAAGTAATGTTGAAACTAAACCGCCACCAAACACGATCATGTGTTCTTTCACAGCATCATAGTCACCTAGTCTACCTGGATTGCAAACATGCAATCTACCCTGCTGCTGTAAAATAGTGTACCATATCCGCACCTTCCATTCTGCCGCCTGCCAGGTGCATTNACAGCACAACACCTGTCTGTCCATTTTCGCCGCCTTGCCTGTTTTTGGCAATTTTCGCACGTACGTCTGTTCGCATACTGTAATCAATATTCGAAGTAATGTTGAAACTAAACCGCCACCAAACACGATCATGTGTTCTTTCACAGCATCATAGTCACCTAGTCTACCTGGATTGCAAACATGCAATCTACCCTGCTGCTGTAAAATAGTGTACCATATCCGCACCTTCCATTCTGCCGCCTGCCAGGTGCATTCATCCTCGCTCTGCGGAAAAAAGAACGGCCCGACCTCTGCTGTGCTGTTGATGGCATCCACCACCTGCCACAAGATGCTGAAGACCGTCTCCTGGGACACGCCAAACAGCACGGCGACATCGATATACGAAGCACCGGCCATCATCCGCAAGCCGATAGCTAGTCGGATCTTCGTGGGAACAGCACCGCCTTGATACCGTTTTCCTGTTTCGCATGATTCACAAAATGAGCATAGCGTGAACGTATCAGTAAGCGAAAATAGCAAGTGCTGGGCGGTGAAACTGTAACCCTAACCCTAGTCAGACACCGGAGGTCACCGTCCTGCCGGTGTAAACCGTCCTGCTGGTGTCAGGGTGCCGGCGGTGGAGCTGCGGGATGATTCGCACTGCTGTGCTGTTCCTACAGCAGTAGACTATAAATACACCGTGGTCTTCTGCAATGCTAAACTTCAGCATCAGCAACGTAAGGACGGGAAAAACACCACGGCATGAGTTCTGCGCCTCGTACAGGTACGTCATTTACACACTCTCCCTCCCGCCCCCTCTCTATCCTCACTTGCGTAGCAGTCGTTCGTTGGAGGATCGGTTCCAGCAACCCAACCAGTTTGTTTAACACCCGTTCCTCCATGCGATACATCCTCCGGAAGAGCTTCCGCTTCTTGGGGTCAGCAACGTGATCCTCCCAAACAAGGCGCCGTGGCTCGTGGATAGCCGCACGCGTCTTGTTAGCGCTAGCGTGCACAGCTACAGAGGTGACCACTGCCGCCGCACTCAGCACCAGCACCACCACAGCAGCATGAGGATTTATCGCATGGAGGAACGGGTGTTCAACAAACACATCTGCCGCACCAGCTCTTGGCGACCGGATGCACACCTGAATCGTTGGCTCGGTGGGCCAGCACACGACGAACCGAGAGGCGCGCCGCGTTTCCTGCGTCCGCCATGGCCCTGCCGCTATCCCAAGTACCCTCCGCTGCTGCTTCTCCCTTGTAGTTGGTCCAGTAGGTCCTTTAGCTGCTGGGTTTGTTGTGATGCTCCAAATAATGTGGAAAATTTGGAAGCTAAGACCACTGTTTATGGCAAAAAAATCTTGATCTTCCTCTCTTTCGACAAATGTTGAATTTTTCGACCTTTTGGGCAGTCTGCCTCCCGAACGAGTGCGAATCAGCTGTTCGACCTTTGAGAACAGTCACAGCTTTGGCTGAGATGTCTACAGATCGCCTACATGTTTCGCCAGGGTTCACGTTTGATTTTATTCCAGCAGAGCAAGATGTTGAAGATTCGGCCGAAAGGCCAGCTCGGAGCAAATCTTGGGGCAAGATCTGTCCAAAAGCTGGTTTCGGAAAAATCTTGCGTGAAAATTGTGAACCTTGAAAAAATCAAACGTGGACCCTGGCGAAACATGTAGGCGATCTGTAGACGTCTCAGCCATAGCTGTGACTGTTCTCAAAGGTCGAACAACTGATTCGCACTCGTTCGGGAGGCAGACTGCCCAAAAGGTCGAAAAATTCAACATTTGTCGCAAGAAAGGAAGATCAAGATTTTTTTGCCATAAACAGTGGTCTAACGGGTGCAAATTTAAAATTTCGGCGCTCAGGTTCGTTCCGAATTTATTTATTATTGGACAAACGCCTCTGTACAAATTCCGGAATTTCGGGAAATTTGTACTTTTGAACACAATTTTAATTTTGGAATGTATCAAACGGTCCTAAGGAGGGTAGATCTAGACGGGTTGAAAGTTCCCGCATAGTGATTTATTTGCCTTACTTGCAGCTTGATCTTCGAGGGCGGATCCTGGCTTTTTTTGGCATCGACTTGTCGATGCTTCGACCTGCGGACGAGTTGACGATTGTTACGTCTATAACCAACAATCAATGCACTTGGTGCAGAGTTAGTTCCTCTTCATCATTCTCTCCTGCCTGCGTGTAATCCTTGGGGGATTATTACCAAATCCATCTTGTTGTATCGCTCCTTCCCCCTACCAGTGAGTGCCTGTGGAAAAAGGGGAAGAATCCTCAACGGCGATGGGCATAGGCTATGGCACTCGCGCAGCGTCTTGTGTGTGCGTGTGTGTTTTTTTTATTAGCATCGACCGCGCTAACCGGCTGACCAATGAAATGTGTGTGTGTTTTCGTCCTATTTATTATGGCGACAGTCCCCCCATTTTTCGTGGTGAGACATGTACTACACTTTTTTTCAGCGTATGTATGTATGTATGTAGAGCACTACACTTTTTTCAGTGTATTTTTTCGTACAACTACAACCATGCAGGGTCACACAGGAGGGGGTAATAAACACCCATGACTCCCGTACATGACCGATTGACTCTCGATATAGATCAGGCAGCATTGTTTCATCTGTTGACAACCCTTGCTTGCGTGATCAACCACGACAGACAATAATAATACTCCATTGCCTTTCGCTTCCTCAAAGCGGATCAATGAATGCCCGCTTCTTTGACGTTTCCTCGCCCGCTACCTTCTGGAAGTCTGTCTCCACCATGTGACGCACTGCTGCATGAAAATGTTTCGAAAGGAGAGCTTGGGCTCCAAAGACTTGGTGGTGTTGACCAATTTCATTTCGGCTGTAGGTAGACGGTCGTTGATCTTTTACGTCAGGGTTTCCATCTTCACTGGGTTTTCCCGCCTTCCCTGCTTCTAACAGGTAAACTCCTTCGAGGGCGGGGGTTAACTCATCACTTGTGGCAAGTTTAGCCATAACTGCCCAACAGTTTTTTCAAGCTGTTTGTGTTTGGTGATGATCTCCATCTGGAACTCTTCTGTCCTAGGATCCCGACTACTGGCATGCCACCTTCAGAAACTGACAGACCAATTTTCGTCAATTGTTGCTGTTTGTCGGTTGTCGAAGAGGGGACCATGCAAAGACGTTCCGGGGAAAGCACTTAGTATTTCGGGAGACTGACCTCAATCCCTTTTTAGGAGAGACGTTCCTGAATCCAATTCGTTACAGTGGATATGGCGTGCATGTTCCTAGCCAAACCTGGTGGAAGATAAAGTAGCTCAGCCTCCTGCATGACACCCTCTCACTTCCTTGACCGCACTGAGACTGATGACGTCTGTTGGTTGGCCAGTCGTTTTTCTTGCTTTTGAAGGCTTGGTCTTCTCTCTAGCTTTTATCGAAGGAACAGGAGAGTTCGTTACCTTCTTCACCCCTTTTTTTAGGTTTCATGCGCCTTTATTTGTGTGCTCATGTAAGAAGCACTAATCCATCCATGTTTTACCTCCAAATAAATGTACATATACACCGGGTGCGTGCATGCATGAGCGTACCTTTGAGTTTGCCTGAAGAATAATAGTGCTACGGCCTTCTTGCAATACAAACATAATGATTTGATAGCGAGGTGAACTTCCATCGGGCAGCACAGTCTACGGTTGAAAGGCAGCAGCAAAGTTTCACTAGCGAGTACAGTGCCGGCCCGCACTTAAGAACCTACTATATTGGGCGAGGCTCAGTTCTTATTGGCTGCCCCGACCCGAGCACCAGTTCTTATTTGCCAAGTTCTTATTTCGTCGTCCATTCTTCTCCAGAACGGGGCGTTNTTCGTCGTCCATTCTTCTCCAGAACGGGGCGTTCTTGTTCTTACAGTATATTAACATCATTTGCTTTATTGTCGGCTGTCAACCATGAGCAACACTAGTACTGCTGTCGATACAAGAA